CCCCAAAACCCCAAAACCCCAAAACCCCAAAACCCCTGAAGGAAATTAAATAATTGAAACTTTTAGCTAAAGTGTCTTTTTTGACTGGGAGAGTTTCTTTGGAATATTGTTTTTTGTTGGGATCTTGGAAAGGTAGCAGCTGTCGATCTTGAGGTGGGTGTTTTTGTGTTTGGAACTTTTGGAAGGGGAAGAATACTTGCTTGAGGCGTTGAAGAAGTTTGAGTTGGGGTCTATGGGTTAGAGGGAGGGTACCTTTGGAGAATGGAGAGGGTTTTGAGGTAGAGGAAGTGGTCTTGTGAAGGCTTCTATGGGGAATTAGAGGAAGAGGAGGTTAGACTTACGACTTAGAAGCTGAGGTGCTTGACAGTCGAGCTTCTCTGATTTCAGCAGGACTGATCTTTGGGCTGAATTTGATCAGCTCTGTACGATCCATAAGCTTATCCCAGCCTGTTATTGACTTTCTTTTGAGATCTTTGTTCTGAGATTTCTTTGAAGTTTTGTTTCTATTAAAGATTATTAACGAGATATAAGCACGATAACATACTTATTTTCCATTTTTATCCAAATTTTCTGGCTAAATTTAAGTTAGCAACAATATACCTTTTAGGTTTCACTCTCATGAGTCTCTTCTTATACTCTTTTGAGGATTGTTTATTTTGCACCTTTTCTTGCTCAGGTAATTTGGCTACAAAAAGTGATTAATATACAGCTGAATAATGGATGAATCCTTGATTTGGAACATAGGCACAGAAAAATTGAATTTGAAAAGATATAATATAGGGAAGGCATGTTTGTAGGTTTCCTTTAATTTTTCAAACCAAAAATATGATTATCTAAAATCTAGAGATAGAACTCTTCAAGAAAAAGCATGTTTGATCAATAGATTCAGCCTAAATTTTACTATCATAACACACAAAGGGTACAATTTTCAAAACCCATAAAGTTGGATTAGATCTACCAGATGAGATCGGAAACATTCAGATATTTTTGAAGACTATCGGGTTAGTGGTCTCAGTAAAAGATAGCAACCATATTGATTAATAATAAAAAGATATCATGAATAAAGTATGAACCACTTTTTTAATAATTTTCAAAGATGCTAGATAATAACCAAAAATTATTTTTAGCACTCTCAAGCTCTCACTTGTAAGCAAATAGAGGGTATTATGATTTTAAATTCCTAAAATGTGGTCATAATATGGATCCCCATTTTGAAAGTGAATTAAACTATGAAAAATACTGTATAAATTATTTTTACGATTCATCAAGTTTTAGGCATTTCAAAAGAGGAATGAAATTCAAAATGTCTTTATAAAGCCTGAAACCTAGCAAAGAGTCGATCTAACGATTTTTTATCCTATAGTTAATTATAGCGAAGGCATCGTTTGTTTACTATCCCATTCCGGAAAGGTGAGGTTATTTTGGGAAAAATTTCTTCAGTGGATCTTCTACAAAAATATGTAGGAAATATTAACTTTTCTGGAGAAGTCAAGCTTTAATTAAGTAGTCACCATAATGATGAATCTATTCCTATGAGATAACAATATAGTTCTAAGAGGTAGTGTTAATCTTTATTGATTATTTATGAGTATGCAATGGCCTATCGTTACAGTTACAAGAGTGAGCAAAGAAAATTCTTAGAATAAGAAATGATATGAAATAGCCATATCAAGCATTGATGAAAACTTAAGAAGAGTTAATAGTAGAATTTGGGAGATAACTTTAAAATCTCATATCCTGACTGAGTTAGCGAAGTGAGTCCATTATTTTACAGAGAAATAGGCTCTATTATCTAACATCAAGACGTTATATTAAGACACACTATAAAGTGTTATGGTTTCTTAGAGTGTAATCAAAAGAAACCTAAAATTATGGAAGATTGTGAAACTAACAAAGCTAAAGTAATCATTACCTTTAGAAGTGGTGTCCACGATCTGGTGATCTTCCACTCATTTGAGCTTTGTTTTATTTGAAGATTCTTTTTCATTTTTACAATCTCTTCTCTCTACTGCACATCAAAAGCTTGATTGGATTTTAGTATTAGAGGCGCCCATATTATTAAATAATCTTTCAACATCTCTAGAGTTAAACGGGGTTTTGGGGTTTTGGGGTTTTGGGG